CTACAAGGAAGACCAGTTACTATGACTATTATTCAAATTTATGCACGAACCACCAAAGCAAAAGATGAGGAAATTAAGATTTTTATCAACTCCTGCAGCCTGAAATTGACCGAACGTGTAATCAATGTAAATTGCTTATCATGGTGATTGGAATGCAAAAGTTGGAAACAGAAAAATCATCGTAGTTGGAAAATTTGGCCTTGGTGACAGAAATAACACTGGAGATCTCATGATAGAATTTTGCAAGACCAGCAACTTATTCATTGCAAACACCTTTTTACAACAACACAAATGGCGGCTACACACGTGGACTTTGCCAGACGGAGTACACAGGAATCAGATTGACTACATCTGTGGCAAGAGGCAATGGAAAAGCTCAGTATCTTCAGTCAAAACCAAGCCAGGAGCTGAGTGTGGAACAGACCATCAACTGCTCATATGCAAGTTCAACTTGAAGTTGAAAACAATTAAAACAAGTCCATGAGAGCCAAAATATGACCTTGAATATATCCTTTCTGAATTTAGAGACCATCTAAAGAACAGATTTGATGCATTTAACACCAATGACTGAAAACTAGTAGAATTGTGGGATGACATCAAGAGCATCATCCATGAAGAAAGCAAGAGGTCATTAAAAAATACAAGAAAGACAGGCCAAAATGGATGTCACCAAGAGACTCTGAAACTTGCCCTTGAGCAAAGAGTAGCTAAAGCAAATGGAAGAAATGACAAGATAAAGAAGCTGAACGAAAGATTTCAAAGAGCAGCACGAGCAAAGCCAATTACTATAATGAAATATGCAAAGACCTGGAGTTAGAAAACCAAAAGGGAAGAACATGCTCGGCATTTCTCAAGCTGAAAAAACTGAGGAAAAAATTTAAGCCTTGAGTTGTAATACTGAAAGATTCTATATGGGCAAAATATTGAATGATGCAGGAAACATCAAAAGAAGATAGAAGGAACACAGAGTCACTGTACCGAAAAGAACTGGTCGATGTTCACCCATTTTAGGAGATGGCATATGTTCAAGAACCAATGGTATTGAGGGAAGAGGTCAAAGCTGCACTGAGGGAATTGGCGAAGAACAAGGTGCCAGGAAGAGAAGGAATACCCACTGAGATGTTTCAGCATACAGATGCCCCACTAGAGGGACCCACCTGGTTATGCTAAGAGATTTGGAAGACAGCTGACTGGAAGAGGTCTGTATCTGTACCCATTCCAAAGAAAGGTAATCCCACAGGACATGGAAATTATTGAACAGTATCATTAATATCGCATGCAAGTAAGATCTTACTGAAGATAACTCAAAAATGGTTGCAGTAGTATACTGACAGAGAACTTTCAGAGGTGTAGGCTGGATTCAGAAGAGGATGTGTAAAAAGGGATATCACTGCTGATGTCAGATGGATCTTGACTCAAAGTAAAGAATACCAGAAAGATGTTTACTTGTGTTTTATTGATTATGCAAAAGCATTTGATTGTGTGGATCATAACAAATTGTGGATAACATTGAGAAGAATGGGAATTCCAGAACACTTAATTGTACTCATAAG